CTAAATAGTTTGTAAGAATTTGTAGGGGCAGATGACTTAAGGCCAAAGGCAGGTAAAGCTGTCCTAGAAATGGGTAGGAGGTGCTCTCCTGTGCAGACTTCGATCTCAGGCAAACATGTTAGCCAAGAACAGAGGCTTTTTCCTTTTCAAACACAAACAAGATTGATTTCAAAATGCTGTAATTCAAGAAAAAAGGCAGATTCTCAATGTGGCTACTTACCTATCTCCTCCCCCCCAAAAAAGAAAGAAAAGTACTTCTTAAAGATGGGGTGGGCGGGGACAGAGTTAAAAATTCTTGGGAATTTTTTTAAAATAATTATTTCATTCAACATTGAATTATTATTTCGTTTCTCATCCATTAAAAATTAATGGGTAGGGAGGTGCATACTCAGGGACAGTTCGGGACAGCCTATAAACTATCTGTAGTAAAACACACAAACAGTTTATCCCATTTTCCAAGCAGCATTTAAAATATCAAAGTAAAAACAAGTCATATATAATTACACATGGTTAATTCTCACACTATTTTTGTAGAAAAACATATAAAATACTCCCACCCCCCAAAAAAATGGCAATATCAGGTTAGAAACCTTTAGAATGCTAAAATCCAGACGACCTTGAGGTATGCTTAAAATCACCAGTACTACTTCAAAATATATAAACGGGCCCCTTTAGGAGAAATATAAATAGCAACATGATAAAACAACTGTGAAGCAAGCAAGAGAGGAAAGAAATCTGAAGGTCACTCAAGCTTAAACTAGGATGAACCATGACAGACCGGGGTACAATACATCTAGATTCTTGCACTAAACAGCGATTAGAGATGGATGTATTGGCAAAGCTCTCCCTGCAGTCTGCTGCGGCCTGCAGAAGGAAAGCCAAACATATTTGATGAACCACTTGTTACTTCTGTCAAAGCCTCTTCTTTTAGAGTCAAAACTTTTATTAAAACACCAAAGCTATACATTTTACAATTTCACTGTCAATGAGAATTTTTTCAAAATATCTCATGTAAAATGTATTTAGCTGATGCTGAGAAACACTGACCTTTGAGCCTAATTGTCCCTCAACTGATGAAATTGGCCTCCAGAGGCAACAGTTGCCAGAACTGGGCACTCCCGACGCTTTCCTGGTCTAGTATCCTATTGGCTTCTATAGACCTAAGTAACTTTTTCTGGCTCAGAAGGGATGAAAGAGGCGCCCTTCTCGCTCTCTGAGCCAATGAAAAGCCGTGTTCTGCAGACCAGGAATACACGACCTGGAAGAGGACACTGTCTCAACTCCCGGTCCTTGGCCTCCTGACTATAAACGTCTCCCTCATTCATTTTGGTAAAGTTCAGAGAAGGGCTCTAGCCACAAGCTCCCATTATATATTCTGTCTACGCACTTGTATGCTCATTTAACCTTGGACTTGACTTGTCTACACTACAAGTTGTGAATCATTCCTTAAGACTGAATCTTAGAAACTCAACTCTGTTCCCAGAGGAAACTAGTAAAAGCCATAAAGCCGGCTTTGTTAAGACTTTCCCTGATGGACTGAATCTCACCTACCAGCTTCCCAAATCTCATTCTACCACCAAAACTGAAAGTTAAAGACATCAGTAAATAGAACAAATTACTCCTCCTCCTCTTCCTCATACCCATGTCCATCCTATCCACCCCAGTAGTAATTCCTGCAGACTGTGAAAACCACTCCAAGTAAACCAGGAAAGAGTTACGGGATTTTTTTATTTTTTTTTTTTGAGGTAAGACATAGAATTCCAAACTGCTGACAGATCACTTTGCAATTTTAAATCTCTCTTGATACAAAGTTCTCTAGACTTTGGTGGCTAACCTGGTTTGCTTTCAAATGGTCACAGGTCAAAGATTTGCCTCTCCTCACCTGCAAAAATATGTCTGTGAAGGCTTTCTTTTTTTAAAATATATTTTCATTGATTTCAGAGAGGAAGGGAGAGGGAGAGAAACATCAGTGATGAGAGAGAATCATCGATCGGCTGCTTCCTGCATGCCCCATACTGGGGATCGAGCCTGCATATGCCCTTGACCAGAATTGAACCAGGATCCCTTCAGTCCGCATGCCAACACTCTATCCATTGAGCCAAACTAGCTAGGGCTGTGAAGGTTTTCATCTTACATTTCAGAACCTCGGAGCCTTCAATAAAAAGAAAATACAGATTATTTAAATTTTAACATATATATGTATGATTTACGATCCTGAATTGAGGGGCCTAGAAATCCGACTCTATGCTAGACCTGCTTACCTAGATAACCAAAATAACGAAGCTATCTGACTAGAGCCTCAACAAAAAGTTTCTATGCTCCAAGAACTAAGGTAACATTACTTTCCAATTCAGATTAAGCCAAAAGGGAAACAGATCTTCACAAGTTATAACTGTGCAACAATCTGGCTTAAGTCTTCGGGTTAATGGTTCTATCTATAGTTAAGTTCAATGTGAAAGTACGGAAACCCACCCTGGGTTTTCTTTCAGGCAAGGACTCTGCATTCTCAGGTATATCCTCACAGGTGAAAACTATAAGAAAAAATACCAAGCATCAGAAATAAATATGAACTCATCTGGTTTAAATTTTTATAAATGGAAAGTATGAATTCAAAAGTATGACATATTGCCTTAGCCAGTGTGGCTCAGTGGATAGAGCATCAGCCTGCAGACTGAAGGGAACCCGGTTCAATTCGGTCAAGGGCACATGCCTGGGTTGCAGGCTCAATCCCCAGTCGGGGGCGTGCAGGAGGCAGCCAATAATGATTCTTTTTCAGCATTGATGTTTCTATCTCTCTCTCTTCCTTCCCCTCTGAAATCAGTAAAAATATATTCTAAAAAAAAAGTATGACCTAGTCACTTGAAATCAATAGCAACAGTGTCAGACCGGCAAAATGACTGGTCATTCACAAACACTGACGACAGGCTCAGGTTCAGCTTGCTTCAAAGCAATTACTCCCACTCTCTGTTAACAGCAGTCAGATTTAGGTCACCCACATACTCGCAAGTTAATCTGATAAAGTTGACCAGACTTAATTCCTAGGTTTTATTTGTGGACTATAGTAAACTATGGTGGACATCACAAAAAGAGTTCCTCATTCATCTTAAAAACAATCCTAAAAGAAAAACTTCTCTCTTCTCTTTGGTTGTAGCAAAAGAAAATGCTTCCTTTCAAACACAGTATTATATTCTTAAAGAAAATACAATTTTTTTAATCCATGAATCTTCATTTAAAAAAAAATGGCTGAGTGTGTTCCAGGGGTGGGCAAACTTTTTGACTCGAGGGCCACAATGGGTTCTTAACTGGACCGGAGGGCCGGAACAAAAGCATGGATGGAGTGTTTGTGTGAACTAATATAAATTCAAAGTAAACATCATTACATAAAAGGGTACGGTCTTTTTTTTTTTTTCAGTTTTATTCATTTCAAACGGGACGGATCCAGCCCGCGGCCCGTAGTTTGCCCACGGCTGGTTTAGACCCTGATCTCACTTGGAAAAAACGGTGAAAATCATAGTCTGAAAGTGAAAGGAGTGAGGCTCATCAATACCACCAAGCTGAAAAAGAAACACTGAAAGATCCTACTACTTATTTTACAAATACTCAAAGCCTATCTTAAGGAATCCTGACTTTTCAGGACACAAAACCCTGCCCTAAGCTTTTCTGATCTAGAAACAGAATTTCAGATTGGATCTGAAGAACCCATGCAGGGCCATCTAATGTCATAGTTGCTGTCAGCTCATTCTGATCCCAACAAGCACCCAGTGAGGGAAGCACTTCAGCATCATCATCCCTGTTTTGCAGGTCAGAACAAGAAGAGAGATCAATTAGCTCGAAAGTCACAAAGCTAGGAGCAACCTCGAAGGACTAATCCCCTTGCCTGCCCACCCCTGCCAGAATTAGACTTTAACTTGCAGGTATGTATGTAAGGACAAAGTACAGGTCTGAGGACTACATCAAGCCCAGGTCACCTGAGGTACATAGTAAAAGGCAGATTTTCAATCTCCTGACTTGAAATTTCTGGGGATAGACTGTAGAAATATGTTGTCAATCAAGTTCCCCAGGTGATCCTGAAGACCATCAGTTTGAGGACCACCAGCATGAGTGAATCCTAAATCCAAGCCAGAAAACCCATTTGTTTACTTATCCTCCATGCACCACAGAACTTGCCAAGCAAACCAAGCAGCTTATTCAAATTTACTGTACCAGTGACCTGAGTTAGTCACATTAAAAGAATTTATGTGCCTCAGCCTAAAGAGCCAGGTCAACGGACTTAGGTCAAAGGTACAGTTTCAGCTTCACTCTTTCCAAGCTAACTTCTCAGTTGACATTACCCAACAGTATCTTCACAAACTCCATGCACTCCTGGAGGTATCTTCTTTTACATTAACACCATTAACTTCTAGAGGAAGTAATGTGGGTATAACCCTAGTCAAAATCATCAAGTTGGGTTTACAAAGCATCCAAATTGTGGCAGGTACTCTAAAGATCATACAAAAAAACTGCCCTCTACCCATTTAAGTTGTTATTTCATATTGAAAATGGGAGCAAGTCTCCTTTTGAATTCATTTCTTACAGGAGAGAATTTTAAAAAGGAGAAAAAAATGGTGAAAATTTTCATGTTTATTTTCTAGATTAAGATTGTGCTCCCGGCCTCTGAAACATACTTTCAAGAAAAAGGGAGGGGGAAAGTATCTCCCTATTGTCCTGCTGTATATCTCAGGAGGAAATAGCCTAAAAAGGTTATTTTCACAGGAGCTTGGCCAATCCTTGGACTTCTGGAAGACCTCTCATAGTATTATGAGAATTTACAACAGCTGGAGGCTGAGAAATTTAATAGGAAGAATAGAGGGGAAGAAAGGAATAGGCTGAGAAATAAGCACATTTGAAAAACAGTAAAAGATTTTTAAAAGATCAATACTAATTTAAGAAAGAAGTATCAGTACCTTATCATTTGAACCTAAAAGAACATACCAGGGCAAGACAAATTTCAGAAGACATGACACTCTTGAAATACAGAATTTTATTTAGAAACTGCTTAAAAGTAGAAAAAAAAAAAAAACCCTGTCAAGAAAGACCAGGTGGAAAATGAGTTCCCAATAAAATGGAATTTTAGGGCAACAAAAGTCTAAAGGCCACAAAAGAGAAATAGCACCACTGTTATTTGAACAATGGCTAGTTACTTGCATTTTTGGCATTGTTAATCACTGAATCTGGGTTTCTCTCTGAATTTCACACAGAGCATGCACTACACAACAATTTATTATAAAATACCTGCTTTCTACACACATTTTAGGACAAACTACCACCATCAACAAATCAATACAATTACATCAGGGGCTGAACAAGCTCAGTAGTGGGTGACACACATTTTGCAGAATTCTGCCAAACAAAGGAACTGAATAGAAGGTAGGCAAAGCAAATGAGGGGTGTTAAGGAATGAAATAGTTTAAATATTAATAATTAATTCAGACATGGTACTGTATTTTCTGCAAAAGAAAATTAACATTTAGTAACACGCTAACGAATTTTATCTCCAAAGAGATTAGTGCACTGGCAAAGTATTCTGATAACAGTGGAGGGCTGTGGACAGCAGGTACCAAAAACACCCAGCCTTGCAGATCTCAAGGTAGCGATGGCCTTCACTGATCACTCCCTTTGTCAGAAGTCCAAAAAGAACTTGCAGCATGATCACCTGCCTGCTGAACTTTCACTCTAAGCAGTAAACTTTAAGGAGCCAAAGAGGAGTCCCCAGTGGGCAAGGGATGCAGAAAAACATGCTAAATGTAAACTTAAAAGACAGCAAAATGGGACACAAACCCCCATTCAAATCCCAGAGATGTGGGCAAGTCCCCAAAGTAGTTGTTAGATTTTAAAACTGAACACACCTCATTTCCCAAAGACACAATACACAGAAATTTCAGGGGTAATGGAAAAATCATCAGAGAAATGCTCAATGAATATCAAGCTATTCAACTCAAATATCTCAGGGTTGAAACATACCCTCTATTCATTCAGCCAACAATGCCTCTTGCAGAGATGCAATTGGTCAAGGACACCAAATGGCTTTAGAGAGCAACTTTTTAAATTTTCCTTCTGGCCAAGGTTAGGCCTATGAAGATTCAAGCAGCTCTGCAAGGCCTGTGAACAGCAAGTTCTAAAGGTTCCAAGTTCTGGCCCTTCCTTCCCAGACACAAGGGCAACACACAAACTCTCCTATCAGGTTACATTTTATATTTTGAAATATGCAAACGTAATTTAAATACTCTTAAGGCATTCATTTATTAAAACGTTCTCTGCCAAGATTTCACATTAGCTTAAAATTAAAATCAGTCTTTACATTTCACTACTGAGGTATCCACCTCAGCGTATCACATAAAAACACCTTCTCCAGCAATCAGTGTTACCAGCATCCATATGGTGAGCCCATGGTCAGCCTCTTTGTTCCCTAAGTGAACCAACTAGATGTTAATACTGCTCTGCTACAAGGTAAAAGCTCCTAACTCAAACTTATTGAAAAAAGAGTGAAACTTCTGCAAAGTGCACTTTAAGAAGAGGTACTTTTTGCTTATGGAAAGAAACCAGTGAGTCCTCTAAAAATAATAAAAGGGAGTATTTTACAGTTAAGCACATGATTTGGAGTGAAGAATTCGGATGTTGCTCTGCTGGTCCAAGCTGTTAATACTCTTCTTGTTCCTCCTGTGGGCCCCCTTCATCAGGTATCACAAAGCCTTCCTAAAATAGGAAAATAAGAGGGAAAGCTATTACTCAACAGTGAATGATCAGCTTCTAATGTGGGTTCACTTTCCTCAAATTTAGAGTCCTGCCTCTACCACACACTTGGTGTTTAATGGCATAAGGCCAGGGTACCCCTATTTTATTCCTTAGGCAGAGGAATCACATCTCACAAAATACAAACACTGAGCACAATCAAATGGTAATGGACGTGTATACATTGGCTTGATTATAGTGATGATTTCACATCATCAAGTTGTACTTAAATATGTGCAGTTCATTATGTCAATTCTACTTCAATAAGATTCTTTAAAAAAAAAGTTAGCCCAGCTGGTGTGTCTCAGTGGTTGTCAACCCAGGTCATGGTTGATTCCTGGTCAGGGCACATGCCTGGTTATGGGATTGATCCCCAGTAGGGGGGGGGGGGTGTGCAGGAGGCAGCCGATTGGGGTGTGCAGGAGGCAGCTGACCTGTGATTCTCTCTCATGATTGATGCTTCTATCTCTCTCTATCTCTCTCTCTCTCTCTCTCTCTCTCTCTCTCTCTCTCTCTCCTCCTCTCCCTTCTTCTTTGTGAAATCAATTTTAAAAAAAACAAGTTACCCTCAACAATCCCTAAGGTCACCATAAATTTCAGTTCTACCATCTCCTCTCAATAAACTGCCTACACTATAGGCAGCTTTTCCTTTATGCATTCCTTTGACAGCATTTAGGAACCATGCCTGCTATTTAGGAGTGTTGTGGGTGTTGTGTTTACACATAAACATGTCTGACCCAACACTAGTATCATGGGAAATCAGATTTGGGGCTCCCAACTCATACCAGCTATAGGGTATTCTGGCATATACTAATAGCTACATTAACATAAAAATTACACTTCCCTTCAACCATCATCTTTTTTTTTTTAACAAATCTCTATGGCTGAATTTACTTAAGATATGACTCAAGTAAAATAATACTCAAAAAATAAATAAATACTCAGACTAGAACAAGAATCCCTATATCCTCATCATCTTTGTTTTTGTTATCTGGCACAGAGCAAGCCTGAAATAAGAATTTATTTAACAAATTATTCACTTTTCAGTCATTTTAATCCCTCAAATTTACTTGATATGGTTGGAGAACAGTATTTTTTTTTTAACATATTTTATTGATTCTTCACAGAGGAAGGGAGAGAGATAGAGAGCTAGAAACATCGATGAGAGAGAAACATCGATCAGCCGCCTCCTGCACATCTCCCACTGGGGATGTGTCCGCAACCCAAGTACATGCCCCCGACCGGAATCGAACCCGGGACCCTTCAGTCCGCAGGCCGACGCTCTATCCACTGAGCCAAACCGGTTTCGGCTGGAGAACAGTATTAATAACAGCATGTACCTTATATCTGTATACTACATATATACTACAAAGTACTTAGACATATACTATAGGCCTTGCTAGGAATGCAGAAAAAATATAATATAGCCACTAAACAGTGGATACAGCAAGATACCAAATCCTAAATCGAGGAAAAATCAGTCTTCCCTGGTCAGCTAATGTAATGATTAATATCAGCAGATTCAGCCAGACAACATAGCTCAGTGGTTGAGCGTAGACCTATGAACCAGGAGGTCATGGTTCAATTCCCAGTCGGGGCACATGCCCGGGTTGTGGGCTCGATCCCCAGTGGGGGCCGTACCGGAGTTGAGCAATTATTCTCATCATTGATGTTTCTATCTCTCTTTCCCTCTCCCTTCCTCTCTGAAATCAATAAAAATGTATTAAAAAATATATACATATCAATATATATATATATATACACAGATACACACACACACACACACATATATAGATAGATACACACACACACACACACACACACACACACATAATCAGCAGATTTGGCTGTGTAAACACATGGATTCCCAATAAATCTGACCACAAAGCACTTTAAATGGGAATCAGACACACTCTTAGGAGGGAGGAGCAAAGGTACACTCTGACAGCTGTGGGCAGCACATAAAAAAGGAGCCATGTGCCTGGTTCTCCAGAGCATGCGAGGGGCCCTGATAAAATGGAGGCAACAACTCAGGCTGAGGGTTCTAGGCTGCAGGGTGTGGAGAGGGGATGGTGCAGCATGATCATTTTGTGGCACTCATCACCTATCAGTAGCCACAAACTACAGAAGCAGGGCAAACCAGCCACCTACTTCTTCCTATTCCTGCCTCAGGGGCTCACAGACCTCAAGGCAAAGGCCGAAGCTGGCAGAAGTGCCCTCTGGCTGACTTTGAAGAGTCAAAGATGAAGTCCTTTGTGAATGCTATGCTGGAACTCGACAAGCATCAGCACTGAGTTTGCCAAAACCAACCAGATAAAATTCATTTTCTCTTAGGTGGCAAAATGGCAAATATCCTCATGTCAAAACGTACATCTGTGGCATAGAGAATGTCCACAATCCTCTGCAATACAGGGTTGTTTTCCCCTTCGTTCTCCTGGCAAATCAATTCAATGTTCCTTAGCTTTCCAAAGTAGAAATCTCTTTCTTTCTCCAAGTCTTCGACAGTAAGTTTCAATACGTTGACCTGCACAAGACATTAAAAAGGGTGAGAAACTTGGCATTCATGTACCAATAACATATCAGACAAACATCTAACCCAAAAGGAGATACGGTCTTTCATCAAATTCTCTAACATGGACAAAAACCCATTTTAGTTTAGTATCAATTTTCTCCAGCCCCAGATAAATAACATGGGCTGGCCCTAGCCAGTTTGGCTCAGTGGATAGAGCGTTGGCCTGTAAAATGAAAGGTCCCAGATTTGATTCCGGTCAAGGGCACATGCCCGGGTTGTGGGCTCGATCCCCAGTGGGGGACTTGCAGGAGGCAGCCGATCAATGATTCTCTCTCATCATGGATGTTTCTATCTCTCTCTCTTCCTTCCTCTCTGAAATAAATAAAAATATATTTAAAATAAATAAATAACATGGGCTTGTTCATGGCCACCTTAAATATAATAATTCTCACAAAAGGGCAGACAACGCCATGAACATTCAAGAACTTCTAAGGGATTGAGAAAAGATCCAGGAGCCTGACACAAACATAGAAGCAAAATCCAGCCCAGCAGGACTCGATCATAAATTGAGTCCTTACCATTGGTCCATCAAGTTCATATATTTTTGCATGTGGAAGTCAATGGAAACAGAGGGTCTGGTCCAGGGGACAGGGTAGAAATGGCAAGCCAGGAGGTTCCAGTTAAAGATGACTAATACTAGCCAAAGACAGCTAGGACTGAGGGAGGTCTGGGCACAGAAAACTCAATGGTTTTTCCCTTCCACTCCTCCAGTATATTGGGGGAAGCGGGAGGAGGGGGGGGGGATCCTTAACTCAGAAGAGAAACATCTTCTGTGGAGAATGTCCAGGCACCTGTCTGTCTCTGAAGAGTCTGAAAAGGGAGAGAAGACAGCAGAGGTAGGGAACAGACCCCACCACATTCCACTGCTAGATCCCTCCATTGAGCATCTCATCTGCTCACCATACAAGCAGCAGGAGCTTCTAGGAGCTCCACTGAGGGGCTCTCATTTCCACAAAGGGACAATAAAGAAATAAATCTCAGTGCTTAGGCCAGGACTCTTAACTAGCCAAGAGTAATAAAAGTTGTAACAATTCTCCCGGTCCTTTATGTATTTTAAGCATGGTGCATCTTCATTCCAGTATATTTGAATCTATGACATGTGAATTCACTTTAACTCTCACTAAATGTAAATTACAAGGCATAACATGCAGCATAAAATCCTCATGGAACTTATAGGCTAGGGGCACATGGAAAACCAAGCCAGGAAATCAAAGGTAAAGCAGATGAGAACAATTTGGGTAGCAGGGAGTCTGAGAGCCAGAAGGCACTATAGAAATCTAGTCTGACCTCATAGCTGCAAACACTGTGAACAGCTGATCTAGCTTCCCTACAGCCTGATGAAGAAGCCAGACACAACCAGAGGGATCATTACTGCCCCTGTCTAGTTTCCCCTTCATAACCTGCAGTCATGGAGCAGGTGACTAGAACCAGCAAGACCATTCTATCAAAGACTTCTTTTTAATTTCAGAGAGGGAGAAGGAGGAGAGAGAGAGAGAAACATCAATGATGAGAATCATTGATTGGCTGCCTCCTGCACGCCCCCTACTGGGGATCGAGCCCGCAACCTGGGCATATGCCCTTGACTGGAATCAAACCTGGGACCCTTCAGTCTGCAGGCAGACGCTCTATCCACTGAACCAAACTGGCTAGGGCTATCAAAGACTTAATGTTAATGTTCATCATAAAAGGCCTGAACAGACCGCATCAGAAGAATCAAGAAATACCTTTATCAACTATAGAAATCACTTTTAAAATAAATGAAAGTTTCAATAAAGTACTACCATTACCCAGTAGCCAGCAACACTAAATTGTCCAAAAAAAACAAAAACAAAAAACAAACTAAATTTTCCATTTCCCCAAATTCTCCCCACCCCGCTTTTAACTGCTGCCAGTTACCTTTCCTTAAACCAGTGGTTCTCAACCTTCCTAATGCCGCGACCCTTTAATACAGTTCCTCATGTTGTGGTGACCCCAACCATAAAATTATTTTCGTTGCTACTTCATAACTGTAATTTTGCTACTGTTATGAGTTGTAATGTAAATATCTGATATGCAGGATGTATTTTCATTGTTACAAATTGAACATAATTAAAGCATAGTGATTAATCACAAAAACAATATGTAATTATATGTGTTTTCCGAGGGTCGTTGGACCCCCAAAGGGGTCGCTACCCACAGGTTGAGAACCGCTGCCTTAAACTATCAGCCCCAAAGTGCAATACAAAAAGGAATAGAAGGGCAAGAGTTGACCAACCCCAGCAATAGGAAGCTGCCTTGGATCTTCAGTTGCAAGATCCAAAAGCTGGGAAGAGGCCTTCTAATCACATTAGTGACCAAGAAGGAAAGGAAAACCAGAATACCTTAAGGTATGCTAGCTCATGTTTCACTAGTGCCTCCCTCACAAATCATTAAACCTTCTCTGGCCTACACACCATCCAGGGCACCAGAACCCAGCCTTCTGGGCCCCACCTATAAGACCAAAGCAGCATTCCTCCTCACTATCACTCAATAACTACAATTCCACAAGAAACAGTAAGTACACACTGTGTCACTTGGCACTCTTCTAAATGCTTCTTTGAGAGGTTATTAAAAATCTGTGGCTACTAATCAATGTCACTCTTAGAACATTCTCTTGTAGTAAAGTAAGAGCTATAATCTAAGAAGCCCCAAAAAGAATGCTTAGAACTTGCACTGGCCCATTTGGCAGCTATGAGCCACACGTGGCTATCCGAGCCCTTGAAATGTGGGCTTTCAAATGTAAAACATCTCATAATTATATAAATATAATTATTTATATTGATGTCAGAATGATATTTTGGATATATGGGGTAATGTGTTATTAGAGTTCATTTAACCTTGTTTCTTTTTACTTCTTTTTAATGTGGCTATTAAAAATTTCAAATTATATATGTGCCTCACATTTCTGGTTCACATTCTGTTTCTACTGAACAGTGTTGCTCTGGAATAAAATCAAATAAAGGTAAATTTCTCCAGAATGACTTAAGAATGTGGAATTGCTGCAGATCTCCCAATGATATGAACATTAGAAGGTAATTTGTATAGAATACACTCTTCTCTTATCCTAACAAACTCATCTGGCTCTACTTCTCCTATTGGTCATAACCCCAGACCTCCACACCTTTGTTAGGGCCACAAATTCAAATATTTTCAGGGGCCAGAAAGATCATGTAACAAGGGAGTAACAGGATGTGGGGAAAGCCTTTGGCAACCTGGAGAGAAGCTAAAACCTTTCATATTAAAAAAATTTTTTTTAAATTAAAACCCTCTGCAGCCCTAGCTGGTTTGGCTCAGTGGCTTGCGGACTGAAGGGTCCCATGTTCAATTCCAGTCAAGGGCACATGCCTGGGTTGCAGGCTCCATCCCCAGTGGGGGTCGTGCAGGAGGCGGCCAATCAATGATTCTCTCTCATCATTGATGTTTCTATCTCTCTCTCCCTCTCCTTTCCTCTCTGAAATCAATAAAAAAAATATGTATTAAAAAAAACACAACCCTGTGCAGACCAAAATATTTCTGAGACAGGGCTGAACCAGCTGAGTATGAGCTGGGTTCAAATCCCAGCTCAAGTTACTTAACCTGAGCCACACTATCCTTATCTGTAACACCTCATAGGGCTAATGTAAAAGTGAAATTAAAGTGCTTAATAACATAATGGCATACACACTCTAAAAGTGTGAGCTATTTTTGGTTTTGCTATTAATGTTCGAGTGCTCTATATAGGGTATTAACACTTGTGTACTTATTTCATACGCAAAATATTTTATTCCTGTGAACTTTTAAGAAACACTTCAAGACCTATCTCACTGTATCAAGACAACGAACAGGAACCATAATAACCACAACTGCCAATACCCTATTTATCCCAACACCATTCCAGGCACTTGACATAACGTCAGCTCACGTAATCCACTTACCTACCATGAGCAAAGTATGAGCCCACTTCACAGGAGGCATAAGTTCAGAGAGATAAACTGACGTGCTCCAAGTGGCAGAGCCAGGATAGTCCTCAAATCTATGCATCCCAAAGCCTGTGCTCCCTCATACAGGACACCAGCTGAGCCTCTGCCTCTTCTCCTGAGGGTTCGATCAGCCCTGTGCTGGTCACCCGGTCTCACCACTAACAACCCTCACTCTGTTTTTCTGACACTGCTTCCTGTGCACATCCAGGCCTGCAAACCGACAGTTACAGGAAGTCTCCTTAGTTTTCAGAACTTCTACACTTCAGTGACAGCACCCAGAGGCTGCTCAAAGCAGCCACACTAATGGGGCTGGTGACCCAGTCACCTCGACACTCCTCAGGCACCCAGAACCATGAGCCACATGCAAATTAGAGAATAAATTAAAAAACATGATCTTTGGGCAGGCTTTTCTGTCCTGGTTTCCTAGATGCAGGGACTGGGTCAGGATTAAAACGAAGTTGTGACCCCCAGGTTTTAGGACGTGGCTTTTGGGAAAGTAGAAGAGTCCAATCTCAAACTCACTAAGATAACAAAGCATCGCAATTTTAAAACTGGGGTTAATCAAGAGAATCATTCAAAAGCAAACAAACAAAATAACTACCAGGATTAGTGAGAAAATGTTTAAAAGTCTAAATTTGTTCTGATCCATAGACCTGACATGTATCTTCAGGATATTAGTTAATCCTAAAGAAGACATTTCAAACCAATGACCTATGAAGACCAGAAGAATAGGCTTTTCATATCAGTTCTACTCTCAACTTGGATTACAGCAGAGAAACTGTAAAATCCTTTTTTAAATATTACTCAGAAAGTCTCCTTTATCATTTTCAGAGCAAAAAATTCAAGATACTCTGAATCCCACAGAATCCTAACAGCATTCCAGAGACATTCAACAGGGTTATTGTATAGGTGGGTTTCCAAACTAAGACATTGGTTTCTGTCACACTAACAGATCTCAGAAATGCCTGACACCCCGCTTCTACCTCCACACTCACCCTGCTCCCCACATAGCACTGACAGGCTCACACATGTCACGACGATGACTGTTTCAGCAAGCAGACAAAGCAGGTCTTCCTACAAGAACACGAACAAGCCTTTTCTGGTCAGTGCCAGTATCCTTTCCACCGACATGACTCCCGTCTGGGATACAGGAGGGACCTACCTGCTGCATCAGTTCAGCTGCTTCGTCGTCCCCATTGCCCACACCAGGATTCTTTCGCACCACACCGGGGCCAGCCTTAGGGGTTGCAGTAGTTCTGTGTGTCGCGATGGGCCTCTGTGGAGCTGAGAGAAGATCAGAGGTTTTTTTAAGAGCAGAAATTTCAAAACCAAAAAGAACCCGCCAGCCCTGGCCAGGTGGCTCAGTTGGTTGGAGCGTCAGCTATACACCAAAAGGTTTCCAGTTCAATTCCCAGTTGAAGCGCATATGGGAGGCAACCAATCAATGTTTCTCTCTCTCCCTCCCTCCCTCCCTCTAAAATCAATAAACATATCCTCGAGTAAGGATTAATAAAACACACCAGATGACAAGAGGAGGCTGTGACCAACTTCCCTCCACAGTAATGCAGGGACCCAATGTGGCGAGCCCGGCATGTATGACAATACCCCCAAGTTTGCCTAAAGTGGTTTTTTATCCTGGTAGCAGAGTACCAATTTTAGCCATAATCTCTTGTGCGGGGAGTAAGTCCTCCTGTGAGGTCTTTTTGTTGCTGTGGTGAATAGATCATCTGAAAGAGGCACACACAGTTGATGTACCTTAACCCAGTTCCAACCAAATCCACCAGAAGGGCAGCTTCATGGCACAAAGGCAAACTTCATGCCAGTAGTGAGCTCACAGTTCCAGCTGTTGCTCTGCACTCACAGTTCCCCACCTGAAAAGTAAGATGCCTCCTAACTCAGAACCTCAGACTCCTTGGACTGGAAGAGTGGGGTGGTAGAGACTGCTCTTACAAGTAATTACTTCAAAGCCCATATCTTGCTCACCTTTTAGAAGGTGGTTAGATGGGTTAGGAGAGAAAAGGAGCAGTGACCAGGATTTACAAACTTCTCTCAGCTGTAGTAGCCGAAAGCAGATAAGGAGAAAGTACTAAAGGAGCCAACCTATCTACAAGTTAAAATAATCAAGACTGGGCTACCTCATGGCAAATGCGTCGTTCATGATTTTATTCATTTATTCAGCAATCATTTTAGAAAGCTTGCCGAAACCGGTTTGGCTCAGTGGATAGAGCGTCAGCCTGCGGACTGAAAGGTCCCAGGTTCGATTCCGGTCAAGGGCATGTACTTGGGTTGCGGGCACATCCCCAGCGGTAGTAGCCGAAAGCAGATAAGGAGAAAGTAGTAAAGGAGCCAACCTATCTACAAGTTAAAATAATCAAGACTGGGCTACCTCATGGCAAATGTGTCGTTCATGATTTTATTCATTTATTCAGCAATCATTTTAGAAAGCTTGTACATTATGCCAGGCTTAGAAATATCTGATTGTCCTAACACCCCAAATTATTCAGTAACCATACAGTAATAGGCATTTCCTCTGGATGATCTCTAGTATCATCTCAAGTATGTTTATCAATAAGTTTATCCCAAAGACTAAATGCTTAATGCAAGTCTCCACTTGCCTGTTAGCCACATCTGAAATGAAATGCACAGGGTTACCTATGCAATCCCCCATTCTAAGTAGCTAAGAAATAAAAGTACTTGGAGAAATCGGAACTTTCATATACACTGCTGATGGGAATGCAAAATGGTTCACACTTTGGAAAACAGGTATTTCTGCAAAACGTTAAACACAGAGTTACCATATGACCCAATAATTATGCTCCAAGAGTATATACTCCCAGATCTATACCCAAAATAAATGAAAACACATGTCTACAAAGAAACTTGTATAGGAATGTTCATAGCAGCATTATTCATAATAGCTAGTGGAAACAACACAAATAATCAACTGATGAATAAATAAAAATGTGGTCTAGTCATACAATGGCATACTATTCACCCATTAAAAGGGATAAAGTACTGATACATGCTACAACATAGATAAATGTTGAAAACATGTTAAATGAAAAAAACCAGACACAAAAGACACATATTCTGTGATCCCATTTATATCAGATCATATAAAAATTTAAAAGTACTCAATGTCCTTCTCTTCCTGCCAGATGGATCAGCCTCTTTTTCAAGGTATAATGGGACCTTAACTAATATTCTTGAAAAGGAGGCATTAGCATCTGTAGAACATCCACCCTGACCCCAAAGTATAGGTATAATCTATAAATATACTACTACAAACACATTTTGGGAAACCTCCAGGCCAAGACTTTTTAGAGAAGATCTCTAAAAAACAGCTCCCCACCCCCACCCCTGCTTCCAAGATTCTGCTGACATCACAGCAAGCCAAAGCCACTTAACAGCTAAAGTTCTTGGGAGGGCAGGGAAGCTGTAAGTAATGTCCAAGAAGCTTATCTGCAGACAGAATAATGATGCAGAGAGCCTAGAACAGTCCCTGAGAGACCTAGAAAGCTCCTTCAGTTCCTGAGAGCTCAGGTCTGTTATTGGGCTCTGTATAATGTCCTTGTGTTCGAAGCTCTTTTATGTGAGTTAACCTGAAGGGTTTCTACTCCATACAACTAAAGAGCCTTGGCAAACTGCATACAGTAACTCATCCAGGCCTCAAAAGCAACTCTCTGGGGCACATATTCAAATTCCTGTTCTATACAGGAGGAAACTTTAGGGCAGGTCAAGTAGCACACAGGGTTACAGAGACCTGAAAACCCAGGTCAGCCTGATGCCACATGTCATGGTCTTGCCACATGGCTGTGACTAGGCTCCTTAAGCTCCCTAAGCCTATGGCTACTCAAAAATTCTGATTAAATGTGAATGAATAAATACCTGCAAAACTATTGTTTGGAATTGATATTTCTGTATGGTTTTTTACCTGCACTGCTAGAGCTGAGAGGTTTCTTCGGTTTGTTCATAGCTGGAGCAACAAGGGAGGGAGCCACGGCAGTTTCTTGACCTTGTCTGGCAGCTACAGGGTCATAGTCTTTTCCATCATAGTTTGCATCAAAAAACTTCTTGAACCACTGAACGAATTCAAAATTGTCCTGAAACTTTCCTTTTACTAATCTGTCCACAGGAATTATCTGCAGAGAAACATCAAGACTGTTTAGCTCAAAGCAAGAGGCTTTTGGAAAGTGTCCAACATGTCAAGGCATCAATCAAAGCTCTGCCTGCCAAGGAAAAATATATAGTTTAGAGGCAAGAACTTACTATAAAGTAAGCCCCTGAAACTTTATAGAGCAAATTTTATCCAGTTTGCCTTCCACAGAACAGTTCTACCTACCAAGCCCCCTCCAAGTCCATCAAAAAGAATCAGAAATGCAAATGGAACAAGTATCATATACAAGTCCCATACACATCCCCAAGCACATCCTAAGATATGTCATTCCACTGTAAAAAGTAAGTCTCCTGTGTAACTTGCATGGCCACAGTGCCTGTCACAAAGTATAAAATCCAGAGCATAAACTAACCACATGTATCTACAATAAACTGTGATTTTAAAAAATTGTCTTAAAAGTACATCAAGACACAAAATCAGTCCTGGGACAGATTTCTACAAAATGGTATATTTTTCAAGTAATTCCAATCCTATTAAAACACACTTTAAGGATTCTGTAAGTTTTGTTATTATACAGGAATACTGTGTTATCAGATATTATTCCAAGTCATTAAACTGCTAGCCAGAGTTTACGTTCAAGGATTCCAGTTGCAATGGTATTTTTATAAATAATATATGTAATAATCTGAACTATATCCATCCCTCAGAGCAAATAAATATAAAATTACTTTGTATGGGATAGAGGTATAGCTGAAACAAAACTAGACGTGAGTCAATAATTGCTGAGGTACATGGGGGATCAATGCATCATACTCTTTTTTACTTTAGAAATTTACTTTATTCAAAAAAATTTAAGTTCTATGAAAAGAAAAAGATACATTACTGTATATAATAAGCTGCACCTAGTTACACTATGCCTGGTAACTAAATGATAGTCTTACAATACACATGCATATTTTATACAGTGCAGAGACAAAACTAAAATAAAGACTGATTTCAAAGTAAACAAAAACCAGACACACAAGCAAAATAATTAGGGGTGATTACAAGCTTTACTAAAACTGTATTTTCCCCAAGAAATGGCTTAAAAGGAAAAACCCCTCTAATGGGTGAGGAGAGAAATTGCTTAATTTTGCAATAGTTACACATTATTTAACCATGGAGATACGCTCAGAGAAATGCATCGTTAGACAATTTCATCACTGTGCAAACAGCACAGTGTGACTTACACAAACCTAGATGATACGGTTGACTACACACCTTGGCTATATGATATAGCCTATTGCTCCTAGGCTAGAAGCCTGCACAGAATGTAAATATACAAAACCTCACAAGATCAAATCAAGCACAAGAGATGCAAGAGATGTGGTAAACACAGGATGTATGAAGCTGCTGCAGGCATGACACAGCATACTGTTTACAGCAAGCTTTTTTAATAGAAAGAGTACACTCTAAAATAACAATTAAATAGTATAGTAAATACATAAACCAGTAACATAGTCATTTATTATCATTATCAAGGATTATATACTGTTCATAATTATATGTACTACATACTATACTCTTATACGACTGGCAGGGCAGGTTTATTTATACCAGCACCACCAAAAACACTTAATGAGTTGTGCTGCAATGCTGCAATGTCACTAGGTGACAGGGACTTTTCACCTAGCTTTGTTATGTCAATAGGCGGTCCTTCATTTACTGAAACACTGTTATGTAGCGCATGACTCTAATCTATTATCTGCTAAAACAGAGATATTTGTCCTAATGAAGCTTGGTTGAGGGTAACTTCAAATAACCTTGGGGGCAAGAGGAAACGTCCCAACAAGGGATCTTCCTCGTATCCTGCTTTTACAAAGCAAGTATTTCTAGAATCTTCTCTATGCTTTACAGAATTAAATCCAGATATTAAAGAGTTAGATCTCAGTAATAGAGATTAAACAGGTTGACTCCTATAGGTGATTACTAACTTCACTATGAAGAAAGAACACAGTAAGGGAACTGGGGTAGGAGGACAGAGGGAAATTTAGCTCCCAATAAATTCTATGTTAACTGGAGAAAAGGAAAATATATAAATTGGGAAAAGAAAATGTCCAAAGTCATGGGCCAGCAGCTGTATCCTTAGTAACAATCACTAGTCAAGAAACAACCTTAAATGAAAAAATAAAATTTACCTACTTTGTCAACACCCATCCTCTTAAAACCTGCTTGTAGTATTTTGAAGTTCTGGATGTATTCATGTTCTAGCTTAGCTTGAAATTTCACTTTCTTCAAGGCAATGGAACCAGGGAACAGCATGTCCATAAACTGACAATAGGCAGCCCCTGAATGAACAAGAGAAGAATAAAATATGCAATAGGTCATTAAATGTTATTATTAAAGAAGCAGGGGGAAATTTTACCCCAAAGCCACTTAACCCAGGTACAATTTTAAAAGTTGTAAAGTGGACCTACAATACCCAAAAGCTTCAATACCACTTGACTTCAAAGTCATTTTTAAAATCTATAACAAGAATGTGGTTTTGCCTGATGGGTTCTTCAACACACTTGCAACTTGGAAGATGATGAAGGGACTTGGAAGGCAATGAGGGGAAAAGGAATGTATGTTTCTATGAAATTTTAAAACTACTCTTTATTAGAAACATAATAAAATGACCACTGCAAAAAAAAAAAAGAATTTTTTAATGAATGCATAGAAATGAAAAAAGGGAAACAGAGGTTGACATTTTCTGATTTTTCCCAAGGACATAACCTCATCCTCACGAGCGGGAGGAGGGATTTCCCAAGTATGTCAAAGATCCATGTTCTGAGGTTTAAAAAAATTTTTTTCTAAGATGTCTGTCTTCCTGAGCTTTTCACATCTCTAAATAAATTATGTTCATTACAGCATTATTTACAAAAGCCAATATATGGAAGAAATCCAGGTGCTCATCAATAGAAGAGGCTTTCCTTCTAGGCGCTGCCTTAATAACAAAGGCTGGCAACCCAAGCAGGGCTAGAAGAGGACCCCTTTTAAATGGCCACTGTCCCAACTATGTGCCACAGAACAGGCCCACATAATGTGTGGCTTAAGGATGGGGACAGGCTTAGGGTAGGTAGGACCAGCTGTGTCATGGCATCTCACTAACTGTCACAGCCCCACTCTACCAGGATCTGTGCTGCAAGCAGAGAACACAAAACGAGGGCACTGTGTGGCCCCTGCTCCAAAGCTTGCAATATTATCAAGGGCACTGGCTCTCAGCCCTTTTGGGTCAAGGGTCCCTTGGAGAAGTAGATGAAAGCAGCAGCCAACATTCTACACAGAACAGATGCTCCCCAATCAGAAAACTCCAGGTTAAGAACTCTCAATGTTTTAACTCAAATACGCAGGAAACAGATGACTACTAAATGTAAGAGTATTCAGGCTTAAGGGAGTAGGTAAGGCTTGAGTCATCTTAGAGCCAGGGGTGGGCAAACTTTTTGACTCGAGGGCCACAATGGGTTCTTAAACTGGACCGGAGGGCCGGAACAAAAGCATGGATGGAGTGTTTGTGTGAACTAATATAAATTCAAAGTAAACATCATTACATAAAAGGGTACGGTCTTTTTTTTTTTTAGTTTTATTCATTTCAAACGGGCCGGATCCAGCCCGCGGGCCATAGTTTGCCCATGGCTGTCTTAGAGGATGAATAAAGTGTGGAAATAGCCAGGCCAGCCTGGCTCAGTGGTTGAGCTTCAACCTGTCAACCAGGAGGTCATGGTTCAATTCCCAGTCAGGGCACATGCCCAGGTTGTGGGTTCCATCCCCAGTGCAGGGTGTGCAGGAGGCAGCCGATCAATGATTTTTTTTCATCATTGATGTTTCTATCTCTCCCTCTCCCTTCCTCTCTGAAATCAATAAAAACAAATATTTTTTTAATGTGGAAATAAAGGACTGTGAGGAGTCATTAATGCAAACATTAAAAGTCATCAAGAAAATTAACGTGGGAAAAATAATTCTATTTTAATTTTAAAAGAAGGAAACAAAACTGTACGACACATGTTTGTATATGTTACTGCAACAATCTGTAACACCAACAGACTGGAAACAAACTAAATGTCCATTAACATGGACTGATCCAAGGAAAATTACAGTATGCCAGCCATAAAAGAAAGCAGCATGGCATCTGATGATATATGGATATGGTACACTCTCCAGAATATACACTGATTAAATATGCTACCATTTGTGAGGAAGGGAGGAAAAGGTGCACAACATCCGCAAACACACCAGCGGTTCTCAACCTGTGGGTCGAGAACAATGAAAATACATCCTGCATATCAGATATTTACATTACGATTCATAACAGTAGCAAAATTACAGTTATGAAGTAGCAACGAAAATAATTTTATGGTGGGGTCACAACATGAGGAACTGTATTTAAAGGGTTGCGGCACTAGGAAGGTTGAGAACCACTGGTAGAGGCTGGCTACCCTGCTGATAACACTGGTTTCCTCTGGGAGAGGAACTGGGTAGCTGGCAGACCCAGTTAAGAGGGAGACGTCACTGTTTTATCTTTTTGTTCCTTTTAAATTTTAAACCATTTTGAGACTTTCAGTTATTCAAAAAAATAAAAACCATATATATTATGTCAATTAAATTTTAAAATTATTGGCAAATACTGAAAAGTACAGCTAAAATGAGTAACCTTGGGCAAGTTGTTTAACCTCTCTTTGCTTCCCTTACCTATGTGTAAAATGGTGTCGATAGTCCTGACCTCCCAGGTGATAGATGTAAAGCACTTTGGAAAGTGCCTGGCCTATAAGCACTCAATAAATAAAGCCATGATTAAGAAAAAATGCAGCTAAAAGATAACAATAACCGTCACTAACTTGTGGCATTACAGTGGAATGTGGTGATGGTTTTCTTAATGTTTCAATAACAAAGACTTAATCACTTATAATCAGAAGGAAAGTTTCTTGGGAGGCAACTGGTCAATGTTTCTCTCTCACACTGATGTTTCTCTCTCTCCCTCTCCCTTCATCTCTCTCTAAAAGTCAATTAAAAATTTTTTTAAAATATATATATATCCATCCTCTGGTGAGGATTTAAAAAAAAAAAAGGTCTCTTAGAAAGGCTGCAGACTAATGTGGTAGAACAAGAGAGAAGTGAGGGTGGGGGAACTTAGAGGGAACCTAGTGCCCAGTCAGGAGCCACTGTGGCAGCAGTGGGCAAACTGGTAAGGGGCTGGATCTAAAACACCCTTCAGAAGACATACAGAACTTTGTGAATTAGACTCAGAGGATTCTCAGGCCTGCGACACTAGAATGGTGAAATCATGGCCCCAAATAAAGTGTCTGAAAAAGGGAGTCAACTTGAGGAGAAAAAGAGGGGTAGGCCTGGTTAAGGACATGGTAACACACCCTCATGAGCAAGACTGACAAGCTGTTTTATAGCTGGGGGAAAGCAATCTGGCATTTGCCTGGGAGCATGTGAACACCTCTCCTATTCTGTGCAGCACAGGAACAATGGAGAGGCCAGGCTGGAGGGGAGAAGGCAGGAGAAGAGAGGGGAGCCAAGAACTCTTTTAGCTTCAGCAGGGACACTTGACATGTTCAAAGCACAATGCTGGGCCCCTGGAAAAGTGCAGAGGGGCCTGAATATGGGAATAGACCTGAGGAAAAAGAGAATGGGTGACAAAAGGCAACCAGTATCCCTTTTTGACACAAGCAATCACTCATCAAATCCTTCTCTGTGGTCAGGTTTGTTTTCTTGATGTCTAGCTTTCCAAAACAGGGGAACTACAGAATGTAATGAATCCTGAACAACCTACCAACTCTGTCTCTGAAAGTTATCCTCACCATATCTCACTACAAGAGCCAAGCAAAGGCTCATTTCACTGATGGGGGGCGGGGGGGTGCACAATACTGACAAAACTCAGCCATTTCACAGGCAGCCAGCACATTAATAGTATAGGCCCTCTCAAGAGAAAAACCTATTCCTAGCTTCTAAAGCCTGTATTTGGCAGGGAATTTTAATCTGCTTGATCCTCTTCTCATCAGAGCTATGAAGAGGAGGTACTAGGCACCAGAGTTAAAGACTCTTGGGATTCTGCTTTGGCCTCAGCACATACAAGGATCTGAGGAGCCTCACTTTCTCTATGACTCCAACCCCCTGGCAGCAGGCCTTCTTCAGGGGCACAACAGTGTCTGTAGCTTATCCTGTTTGGTCTCCAACTGGAAGCTGAGACCAGGTTTTCTAAGCATTAACATGAAACACAATGCAACCATCTACATAACTCTGAGAGAAGCCCTACATAGCTGTCAAGAGGAGAAATGGTATGAATGAATAAAAGTTTGCTTACAAATCACAATTAAGTGTCCTGCACTTACCACTTTGTACTGGGGAAAAGCATTTTATCTAGAACAAGAAAAGTAACAACCAACAGGCAAGTTGAAATTCTTCAAATAATTTTTTTAAAATATATTTTTATTGATTTCAGAGAAAGGAAGGGAGAGGGAAAAGGAGAGAGATAGAAACATCAATGATGAGAGAAAATCATTGATAGGCTGCATGCCCCCTTACTGGGGATCGAGCCCACAACCTGGGCATGTGCCCTGACGGGGGAATCAAACTGTAACCTCCGCCCTGACCGGTTTGGCTCAGTGGACAGAGCATCGGCCTGCGGACTGAAGGGTCCCAGGTTCGATTCCAGTATAGAGCATGTACCTTGGTTGCAGGGGGTGTGCAGGAGGCAGCTGATCAATGTTTCTCTCTCATCAATGTTTCTAACTCTCTATCCTTCTCCCTTCCTCTCTGTAAAAAGTCAATGAAATATATTTTTTTTAAAAACTGTAACCTCCTGGTTCATAGCTCAATGCTCAACTACTGAGCCACACCGGGGCAGGCTTGTCACAGATTTTTAATGAGATAATATCGTTGTAATTAATTATACATAATCTACATTTAACTCTTTCAAATGTTTTTTTTTTTTAAGATATAATGTGTATACATCAGAAAGAGTGTGGGCTGTGTAGTCAGAAAAATCTGGGTTCAAAACCAGCCATGCCCCATGGACATTCCCCATACCTGTAAAACAGTCTACCCTTACCCCCAGGGTCTAGTAAAGAACCCATATCTGACAGCTCTTTTTACAGGTGAGCCTCACAACAGCCCAAAAGGTCCTACTACCCCAGCTTACAAAAGAGGAACTAGAACATTAAGGAACTCCAAAGTCACATGGCTCAGAGCAGACCTAAGCCTCGTCCTATCATGACAGCTTCCTGTCTGAATGAGATAAATCTGGAGCCAGATCAGTACATGCACAACTTATTTACACATGAAAAGAGAGCTAACTTTCTAATTAACTAAGTGAAATATACTTTGGTATATATTTACAGGAAGAAGTAACTTTTAGGGGGAAATTGGTGAAAAAGCCAGCTCCAATAAAAACTAAGATGACCTCATCCACACATTAGTCATAAATCACGGGTCAAACAAGTGCTTTAAAAGCCTCAAATAGAAATGTGGTGATAAAACTGAGGAAACTAATAGAAAATGGGGGAAAAGCAGTCCGGATTTAAGGCTAACAACCTGCGCTTCTGACTAACAAAGTAACTCATGTTTAATCATCATGACTCTCAGGCACCAGTGTTTCACTGAACAACTTCACATGGAGCTTCCTCTGACCATCTGTAAAACTGAGATTAAGCTTCACAGGGGAAATAACAAAACAAGCTAATGAAACCAAGACTAGGACACAGTTATAAAATAAGGAAGTACAAAGCTGAATTAATTTTTAAAAATCATATAAATGAGAGCAATAATTTTAAATTGATCCAAATGGCACTGGTCAGTGAAGGAAAAGTCTAGAGCAGTGGTTCTCAACCTTTCTAATGCCGCGACCCTTTAATACAGTTCCTCTGTTGTGGTGACCCCCAGCCATAAAATTATTTTCGTTGCTACTTCATAACTGTAAGTTTGCTACTGTTATGAATCGTAATGTAAATATCTGATATGCAGGATGTATTTTCATTGTTACAAATTGAACATAATTAAAGCATAGTGATTAATCACAAAAACAATATGTAATTATATATGTGTTTTCCGATGGTCTTAGGCGACCCCTGTGAAAGGGTCGTTCGACCCCCAAAGGGGTCACGACCCACAGGTTGAGAACCGCTGGTCTAGAGTAATTAGGGTACAGGGGTTGAAGAGCCTGGGTTCTTCACTTGAATGAATGTTCAAGTCTCAATTTTGTTCTTGGCTGTATAACTGGACTTATTACTCAATTTCCCTAAGCCCATTTCCTCATCTGTAAAATAAGAATAATAAACATCCCTATCTCATGGAGGTATAGTAAGAATTAAATGAAGATATATTTAAAAAGCATTTACAGCCCTGACCGGTTTGGCTCGGTGAATAGAGCATCGGCCTGCGGACTGAGGAGTCCCAGGTTCGATTCCAGTCAAGGGCATGTGCCTTGGTTGCGGGTACATCCCCAGTGGGGGGTGTGCAGGAGGCAGGTGATCGATGTTTCTCTCTCATAGATGTTTCTAACTCTCTATCCCTCTCCCTTCCTCTCTGTAAAAAATCAATAAAATATATTTTTTTTAAAAAGAAGAAGAAGGAAGTTGGAAATCTCAGATTTAAAACCCTATCAATCAGGCTAAGGTGTTCAAACTTTATCCTGTGGGCAATTTAGACTGGAATCTTTGTCTTTCCTTTAAAAAAAAAAATAATAAAAATAAATAAAAAGCATTTACATAGCGCTGGAACACAAGTGTTCAATTAAATTATTGCTTTCATTACTAGGAGAATCTAAAGATTCTAATTCTCTATCCCACAAATAATAAAAGAATTTAAGTAGCAGAGAATACATATCTCATCTTTCTTCTAGCATATTCTTGACTTCACCTCCCATCCTGTAGTAAATCCAGTTTTGAGAACCCTGACCCATTCCTTATGTCAGGACAATCAGGTGTAGACAGCAGAACTCGCAAAAGGTGAGACAGTCAGAAGGAACTAACCCTGTTGAGACCCTGATTTTGAACTTGAGCTTCCAGAACAGTGTCAGAATAATACATTTCTACTGTTTTTAAGCAAAAAAAAAAAAGGGGGGGGTGTGAGACAGAAGTCTTTAGAGACAGTAGAAACTGATAAGACCTTTATGAAAAATAATTACCAATATGCCAAGGTTGCAGGTTTAATCCCCAGTCAGAGCACATACAAGAATCAACCAATGAATGCATAAATAAGTGGAACAACAAATCGATGTTCCTTTCCTTCCCCTCCCTCCCTTCCTCTCTCCTTCCATCTCTTTCCCTAAAATCAATAAATAAAATTTTTTTAAAAATGCCACTGATAAACTAATTAGAAAAATAAAACATGTCCTCAAATAAAACATTTCAAATCTTGCCCTGATCGGTTTGGCTCAGTGGATAGAGTGTCGGCCTGCAGACTGAGGGGGTCCCAGATTCGATTCCGGTCAAGGGCATGTACCTTGGTTGCAGGCACATCCCCAGTGGGAGGTGTGCAGGAGGCAGCTGATCGATGTTTCTCTCTCACTGATGTTTCAAAACTCTCTATCCCTCTCCCTTCCTCTCTGTAAAAAATCAATAAAATGTATTTTTAAAAAAAAACAAAAACATTTCAAATCTAAATGTGAAAGAGCATAAATGGAGACTTTGTGGCTAAGCTGCAGGCCTCTGAATTCAGTTTCTAAGGCGGGAGATGGAGGACTCACAGGCCAGCCAGAAGCGTGCTCTTTTTAAGCGCATTTCTTTCAGAAGTGATACCAGGGCAGGGCTGAGAAGAAATGGTGCAGCCCTAACACAAAATCTGAACCTGTGGCTTTTGCAGTCAGATACAGACCTGCATATTCCTGAAGGATTTACAGGCTTTCCTGGAAAAGTGGCCTAGTGGATTTCTCTTACCTGAGCACAACTGTTCGACCTTTGTCAGATTCAACTGCAGGGACTCATTGATCCAGGCCAGCATGTCATGTCGACTTAGGTTCTCACTGGTGACTGACGTTGAATATACGTTCACTGCCATCTTCTATAGCATGTGAGGAAAAGAAAAGGGTTTGCATTATTAAGCATGCAAGGGAGAGCAAACATTTCCTCCTTACACATCACACAAGATTTGTGGGAACTCTCAATTTTTAAGCCTCACCTTCTTTCCCAAAAGGCTAAATCAGAGACACCAGCATTCTAGCCATGAGCCTGGAAGAAACATGACCTGAAATGACTTGCCCAACAACAGCCAGCCTAAAATTTAGGCTCCATTTTAATGTGATTGGTATAAAATTTTAAGCTACAATGAACACTAAGTAAAGGGAAGGTTAAATGTTTTATGAAGGGAGCCTGATGCACAAACAAGAACGTTCTATTTAGAAAACATCAGTTCAAGCTTATCCATTAACATATTAAAACTAGAGGCCCGGTGCACGAATTCATGCACAGGTGGGGTCCCTCAGTCTGGCTGACGATGGGGGCCAATCGGGGCCATCTTGCCCAGTCGGGGGCCAATTGGGGCCAGCTGGCCAGGGGGAGGGACCAAGGGAGGTTGGCCAGCCGCGGGAGGTTGGCTGTGCGAGCGCACTGACCAGGGAACAGCTCCTGCGTTGAGCGTCTGCCCCCTGGTGTCAGTGAGCGTCATAGCAACCAGCCAACCAGTCGTTCAGTTGACTGATTGTAATGGTCACTTAGGCTTTTTTAGATAGATAGATAAATAGATAGATAGATGTTTATAGAAGTATCCTTCAGATGGTGGGCTTTTTATTAATTCCTCTTTTTTAAATTTTTTAAAAAATAATTATTTATTGTTGAAGTATTACATATGTCCTCTTTTTTCCCCCCATTGACCCTCTCCAGCCTGCCCCTGCCCCCCGCCCCCAGGCCCTCACCACCCCATTGTCTGTGTCCATGGCCATGCATACATGCATACAAGGTCCTTGCTTGATTACCTCCCACCCTCCCACCTTTCCCCCACCTTCCCTCTGAGATTCCACTCTGTTCCATGCTTCCATGTCCCTGGATCCACTCCATTCACCAGTTTATTTTGTTACTTAGATTCCACATATGAGAGAGATCATGTGATACATGTCTTTCTCTGACTGACTTATTTCACTTAGCATGATACTCTCCAAGTCCCTCCATGCTGTCTCAAAGGATAAGAGACTCCTCTTTTTTCACAGCTGCATAGTATTTAATGGTATAAATGTACCACAGCATTTTCTCCACTCATCTACTGATGGGCACTTGGGCTGTTTCCAGATCTTAGCTATTGTAAATTGTGCTGCTGTGAACATAGGGGTGCATACATTCTTTCAGACTGGTATTTCGCATTTCTTCGGATATATTCCTAGAAGTGGGAACGCTGGGTCAAATGGCAGTTCCATATTTAATCTTTTGAGGAAACTCCATACTGTTTTCCATAATGGCTTAATTCCTCTATATAGTTTTCAATATTTTCCAAAAATTTTTAAAATCAAAAGTAAGCTTTTCAATAACCTAAGTACTACAAAGGTTGTGGCAAAGGACCTTACAGTGAAGAGTCCTTGGAACTAATTCTGTGCTGAGCCACCTGGTCACAGGAGGGCATCTGCTAGCCTACTAAGTACAGGAGCTTTACAGACACTTGTCATTTAACCCTGACAACTCTCTTCAAGATTCACTTGATTCTCCCCATTTTACAGAGGAAAGAGAGTTTCAACATAGAAACCCTGCAAACTGGCAGCCAAGCCTGCCCAGCACCATTGTCCGCACTCTTTCCCCTAGCCTAGAAAGTGCCACCCCTCACCCTTCTGCCAGGCTTTGAAATTCAAAACAACACACAAAAACAAATTAACTTGAAATGCTATTAAATGCGAGTGCCATCATCATCCTCGTTCAATCTACAAACGTTTACCAAGCACTGTTCTAGGCACCAGGAAACAAATAACCAGTACAGACAAGTGGCTTGTCCGCAGAGTTCACATTCTAGTAGTGGAAGTCTAACAGACCAAGTACTCAAATAAATGTCATTTCAACCACCACTAAGGCAACTGGGGTGGTGGGAATGTTGGCAGGGAAAGCCTCTCTGAGTAGACGTTGGAGCTTAAGAATTAGAAGGAAGCAGCCATGTGGAGATCTGGAAGAAGTGTGGCCATAGCCCAGTGGGCAAGAGGGAGAGCAGAACAGAAGTGGGAAAAGTGAAGATGTGAGATCATATTAGGACTCTGCAGGCCATGGAAAGGATTTTAGTCTCTAACTGTTAAGGGTTGTGGGATAAAATCAAACTCTCATTTAAGTTTGAAAAAGATCACCCTAATTGCTGGTAGAAAACAGAGTGCGAAGGGAAGGCTCAAGCAATATGAGCTAAGGACAGGCTAATCCAGATCTAAGTGAAATCCTGGGGCAATTACCATGAGGGTACACAACTGTCAAACACTGGATTTCATAGTGACTTTGGCACTTAATAATTTCCTCATTTCATGAGACACCAACATTACCAATGGGAAGAGGGGTGGGGGAGGGAGGCTCAGAGCAAAATTAGAACCACCATAAGATCCCATGCTGTCTTGTGGCACTTTATTCCCTCCACCCAGTGACCAGTATATGAGTTGTTCTTCCCACCCACCCCTGTCTTTTGCACTAGGCTGCTGCAAGCCTCATACACAGCTACAGAATGTGAAGGCTGGAAGAGACAGAGATCTACCCATTCAACCCCTTTTTATGAGCAGGGTGACTGAGGTCTGGAGAGGTAAATGACTTACCAAGTTTGTGCCCTCACATTCCACACAACTCTTGGCAGAGTGCCTTGCATACAATAGGTGCTCATTAAATGGTACTTGTTTTTTCAGGTTGGCAGGACAGTGTCAAAGAGGAAAAAAAATGTATCTATGTAAACTATTTTCAGAAGCAAACCAACACTTTTACAATCTTAAACTCAAATGATAAAGCTGTAATAAAGAACCAGCACAATTTAGCTCCTGATTCTACTGGGAATTAATCCCCACATTCCCACAGCACTTCATTCAAACATCTATGATAGGCATTACTGCACTGCACTATCATTATCTCTTCATTTCTGAATCATTCCAGGACCAGAGTTGGGCCAGAAGGCAATTTGCTCTATGCAAAGAGCTGAGGATTTCAAGCAAGAAGGACCTGAATTTGAACTTGAGGATGTCATTCATTAGCTGTATGGCCTTGGGCAAGTACTTAACTTCAATGCACCTCAGTTATCAGTTAATGCCACCTACTTGAGAAGGATGAGGTTTAAATGAGATAGGTACATAAAATACTTGGCATGCAATCTGACACAGAACATTAGGTCCAGGGCAGGGAGGGATCTTGTCTCACTTATCCTAACTTCAGTGTCAAAAACAAAGACCTGCCACCACCATCTCTCATCTGGATCAACTGTCACAGTGTTCAAATTAGTCTCAGTTGATTCTTGCAAAACAGCCAGAGATAATTTTCTGAATCACAAATCAGATCAAGTGTCTCCCTGTTTAAAATCCTTGAATGAAAAAATAAATGACATGAATACTGTGTGCAAAATACTATTATCAGTTACCAAAGGACACATCCAAACAAAAAAACATGGTCCCAGACTGAGCATTTGTTATCTATTTTGGTGACATTCATACATACATCAGGTATTGTGTGTGTCATGCTACCATAAAATGTAAGCAGCTGGTTAAGCCACATGTGACTCCTGACCACTCCCCAGCTCAGAAAACATTAATGGCCTTTCATCATCATATAATTTTAAACTCTTCATTAGCAGTACATTAATACCGGGTCCTATGTGCTCCGCAAACTCTGCAGCCACTAAATACATGAGGTTAGGCACCCTGTGGATGCGCCATAAACATCTACCGACTTACCCAATTAATTGGCTTTTCCAGGCAGTCAAAACAGAGCCCAGTTCTCAGAGCTATAGCTCCCCCTTCCTCCATAAGGATACCACTGTTTGGTCTCAACGGATGGACCCCATGACCACCCCACAAACCTCACCCTTAAATGCCTCCTTCAACCAAGTTTCGACTGCCATGAAAAAGCTTCCTCTTGCCTCCCCCAGGTAGCTCCTCCTTCTCCAGTTCGAGAAGGCTCCCAAACTCATTTTGATCCAACGCTACCTCTGAGCACCCTCTTACTTTCAAGGCACCAACCATACTGATGCTATATAAAGAGGGAGGAGGAGATACCACCAGAAAAAAAGTGATGTGACCCTGAATAAACACCTCACCTTTTGGATCAAAATGGCTCACCTGTAAAAGGTGAACAATATCTTCTGCACAACACTGCAATGGGGATTAAATGAGAATCTAATTGAAGACATTCCATTGAAAAGTACATCACATCCTAGGCTTTCCTATGAACCAGAAACTTTGCTAGTCACTGACAAACCGGAAAAAGGACACACTGGTATGAAATATGCTCTCTCTAGGTCCGGACCTCAGAGAGGCAGTGTAATATAGAGGTTAAGAGCCTGGAATTAGAGGAATCACAGAAGTGGGTTCAGCCACTTGCTGGACAGCATAAAGCAAATCTCTCCTCCTCTAAGAATCTAAGTCCATTCATTTATAAAATGAAGATGCTATCTCTTAGAGACAGAGTGAAATATTAAATGACATGATGCCCCATCAAGCACTTAACACAATGCCTGACACTTAGCAAGTGCCCAATTAGGAAATAATTATTCTTATTACTACTCTTTGAGACACCCCATTAGCAGTGGATGCCAGGCCTGGTGTACCTTCCTTCAATGGGCCTCAGGATCCTCATCCGCCCACTGGGGCAGAGGCCAAGCTGTGAAGCAGGGATTGGAAAAGCGCTGTTCATATATTGTCTTCCTAGTAGTTATATGAAATTATCTTGTCCACGTACGCATCTTCTATTTCCTATCTGTCTCCCCACCACAATGTAGACTCCTGGAGAAGACTTTCAGGCCTTTGCCCTCCTGCTCCTGGTGGGTAGCCAGAGCTTAGCACAGTGCCTAGTACCTTTTAGGCACTCAACAAATACCCAATTAAGAAAGGAAGGAGTCCATTGAGCTGGCTTGATTTCTGTTATGCACTGCGTTACAGTTTTCTGTATTATCCTTTTCCCCATTTCACAGATGAGAAAACTGAAGCCCAGAGAGGTCAGAGCACCTGCCCAAGGTCACACAGCAGGGAATCGAACCCAGGTCTGAGTCAAAACCCGAACTTTTCATCATCAGGCAACACCGCCTACCACAGTGGGGGTTCCCAGAGCTCCCAGCAGGCCTCACTTCAACAACAGATACCCCCTACCCGAGTTGGCCACCCCGGAACCTCCCGCCTCCTCGGGCCGATTCCACAGCTCGGGCCGGACTCCACACCTCCGCCTGGGCCCAGAAGCCCCCACGCGCCGTGGGGCAGCCCCGCTTCCGGCCCTAAATCCCGCCCCCTGGGCATAGAGAAGCGCGCGCCCCCCAGTCCGCGCGCGCCGGGTCACGGCCCCGCCCTTCCCCCCCACCCAGCCCGAACCGTACCGCCGCGAGGAGCGGCCCGAGCACCGTCCGCAGGACCCGCCGGCCTCTGCCCGGCCCAAGGCCCACACAGCCGCCCCCTCCCCCCCGGCTGCCGCCCCGTGCCCGCTGCCCCGTGCCCGCTATCCGGCTCACCGGCTCGCGGAGGAACCACGTCCACTGCCGTGCCCGGCTTCGGTTCCGTCTTCGTCTCGTTCAAACCGTCCGACCCCGCCCGCCCGCGCGATGACCTCACACGCACCCCCCCGTTACGCACCGACGTAAAAGCTCGTCATCGTCCGCCGGCTCCTTTTATAGAGACTCAGCGCGCGCCCGGGGCGGAGCCCAGTACTCCTGATCGACAGCTGAGGCACCCAAGGGGCGGGGCAAGACTGCCGAGGCGACGCCGCCACGTGGTCTGCCACATCCAATGATATCTCGCCTTGAGCGCCGTGTGACTCCGCCTGGAAGGCGGGGTCCAGCTACAAATTCTCCGCCCCGTAAGTCTCCCCCAACCCCTCAAAAATTGGGTTTTACAATGAATTTACACAAAAATAGCCCTGGCCGGCTTGGCTCAGTGGATAGAGAGTCAGCCTTCGGACTGAGGGGTCCCGAGTTCGATTCTGGCCAAAAGCACATGCCTGGGTTGCAGGCTCGATCCTCAGTGGGGGGTGTGCAGGAGGCAGCCGATCAATGATTCTCTCTCATCATTGGTGTTTCTATCTCTCTCTTCCTCTCCGAAATCAATAAAGAAATATATTTTAAAAAATAGGTTATTAAATAAAGACACTTGATAGGAACTTTAAGGAAAAACTGTAAAAAGTCACCTCAGGGACACATTCTGTCACCCCTTTATTGACATGCATTTATTTTCTTGTTAGTATAAAGTCACCTTGTTTGTTTATGCCTTTTTGACTGCCTTTTCCTAAGTTCCATGGAAGCAGAAACCTCAGTTCTGTTCCACCGGTGTCCCCGTGCCTGATACATAGGTTCTTAGAGACTCGCTGAAGGAATGAATTACACCCACTTTACAGAAGAGGAAACTGAGGCTCAGTGGGTCACTTGACGGGCTTGGCATCAGAAGCTGACCCAGGTTTCAAGCTAGTTTTCTGGTCTAGATACCATTTCTTTATGTATTCAAAAAACATATATATTCCCTAGTCAATCAGGCCCTAGGGATTTGATGGTGAGCAAAAACTAGACAACCTCTGAGCTCTTAAAGTTTCCAGTCTGGCAGGGGAGGCACAAATCATAACTAATGACACAAATCACTGTTTAATTACAAAGCAGACTTAGTGTTATGCAGGAGCAGTATGTGGCAAGGGTGATGGCTCATCACTGCACGGAATAGGCTCCTGGAGGCCCTTTCTGGGCAGGGCTCACCCAATTAGTTGCAGATGCCTGGAAAGATGATCAGGGAAGAATGTGAGGTGGGGAATTGGGTCAGGAGCTGTTTACCAATCAGTCTGGAGGCATTTAAAGATGAGTACTGCTGGGTGTCTGGTATGTAGTGCTCCAAGAGTACCTCACAAGGAGACCTGACTTCACCTGAGTAGTATAGGAAGGCTTCTCAGAGATGATCTTTGCCCTAATGGATTAGATGTAACCTGGCAAAGCGTTAAGGAAGGAAAGGGCAAGCAAGGAGGATATAGCAAGAGCCCTGTACCCAAATGATTACAGCACTATCAGGACACTAGTAGCCCGGTGCACGAAATTCGTGCACATTAAAAGGGAATTAATTGCCCTGACCGGGTTGGCTCAGTGGATAGAGCATCGGCCTGCAGACTCAAGGGTCCCGAGTTCGATTTCGGTCAAGGGCATGTACCTTGGTTGCGGGCACATCTCTAGTGGAAAGTGTGCAGGAGGCAGCTGATCGATGTTTCTCTCTCATCGATGTTTCTAACTCTTTATCCCTCTCCCTTCCTCTCTGTAAAAAATCAATAAAATATATTTTTTTAAAAGGGAATTAATTAGCAGAGATATTTTAATATTGCTATTTGCCCTTTCTCTATAATAGAAGTGTGAGAGATGAAAGGAAATTAGTAAAATGTATATGAAAATAATATATAAATGTATTAATAAAAAACAGTAACAAAAGGATATAACAACAGAGACATGATATAAAAATGACAAAAACATGATATGAAAACAACAAAAACATGATATAAAAACGACAGTGATGTAAACAATGACTGATAAAGTGATTAAACTTATTCTAATATCTCCCTGTACACCACATTAAGAGTGAAAACACTTTCAGAGTGCTTGACTAATTTCCCTTGTGATGAAGTATTTAGAACTTTAACTGTAACGTCACATGCTCTTCAAACTCCAGAGAAAGCAACATATAACTGACCATGTGCGAAAACAGGTTCAGGTAGGAATATGCCTACTCTGTCTAGAGTTTGTCCTTGTGATTTATTAATAGTCATTGCAAATGCTGGCATCACGGGAAACTGTCATCGAATCAATTTAAATGGGAGGCCAGTGTCAGATGGGGACAAATTAACACTTGGAATCAGAACAACCTCTCCCTCTGCAGATCCTGTTAGTACTTCACCTTCCATAATGTTAGGTCGTAATTTTTTTATAATAAATCTGGTACCATTACAAAGACCCCATTTACTATTGAGATTTCTCAATAGCATGATGATTGCACCCACTTTTAATTTTAATTTATGACATGGCATTCCCAAAGGAATAATACTATTAAGAAATTCGATGGGAAAATTTTCCTTTTCAGCATCATCTGTGGAATCAATGGAATCATCACTCAAATATGTGTGAAAATCTCCATCGAGTATATCCAGAATTTCTTCATTTAATTTTTGAACATGCTCATTTTTGGACAAATAATTACACATTTTAGATATATTTTTAATATTATCTATAGATATAGTATTTCCAAAGGTAGCTTCAATAATAGATCCATTACAAATCATTTCACAGGAGATTTCAATAATATCCATTCCTAAATGAAAACTGCTATCAAGTTTGCCCATCTCCAAGTTTTACTAACCATCCACTATAAGCGGAATCCTCTGATCTCATATTTGTTGTAAGAGACAACTTTCTGAAACATCCCCAAACATTGCAGTACTTTAAACTCATTTGTACTATGGCCGATCGCATAGCATGCGGTACAATACTGAGACATTGTCAAAAATCCCCTCCAAGAAGGAGAACTTTCCCACCAGATACAACATTCAGACTCATAATTTCTCTTAGTAATCTGTCTATTGCATTTATAGCATGACTGGATGCCATGGTGCATTCATCAATAATGAGAAGTTGGGCCTTTTTTATAGTTTTAGCAACTTCACTGTTTATATTGAGTCTAGAAATTGAAGTTTCATTGAATGGAATCGGTAATTTATATTGCAAATGAAAGGTGCTTCCACCGAGAAGTAAATTTGCAGCAATTCCTGTAGACGCAGTGGGTAAAACAGTATCACCATGACCTCTAATATAATGTATTAAAACTTTATACAGATATGCAGGTGAATAGGATTCCTAGCTGGCAGGCCCCTGACAGCAAGCTGGCCACGTGTCGATTCCATGAGGAATGGGGCTCCCTCCTTCCTCCTGTCAGGGTCCGGGGTGCAGGTGAATGGGGTTCCTGGCTGGCAGGCCACTGACAGCAAGCTATCCAACAGCAGATTCTGTGAAGGATGGGGCTGCCTTCTCCCTACTGTCAGGGTCTGGTTTGAAGACCGGCCACGCCCCCTGTTGGGCCAGACGCAGAGTTCTACCACACTGTGGCCTCCGCCTCAGCAACCCAGGACTGACTGCTGCTGGGCGCGGGAAACAGCTTGGGGAGGGCGCAGCCCTTGACAAGGCAACCCAGGACTCAGTACTTCCACGCTCTGCTCTGAGGGCAGGTTCCTGCCTGAAACCTCGCCCTGAGGGCAGGTTCCTGCCTGACACGTCGCCCTCCAGGAAACAGCTGGGGGAGGGCGCAGCCGTTTCAAAGACAACCCCTGCAGGACTGACTTCCTTCCGGTTGGTCGTGCCTCGGGTCGAGATGTTACACCCAGGGTTTTTATATAAGTAGATTAGCCCTGGATGGTGTGGCACAGTGGATAGAGCATCAGCCTGCAGACTGAAGGGTCCCTGGTTCGATTCAAGTCAAGGGCACATGCCCAGGTTGCGGGCTGGATCCCCAGTAGGGGGAGTCCAGGAGGCAGCCAATCCATGATTCTCTCTCATCGTGGATGTTTCTCTCTCTCTCTCCCTTCCTCTCTGAAATCAATAAAAATATATTAAAAAAATATTAGTAACATTAGCATTATAGTGAATTGACAGGAAGCATGGATAATCGAGTAAAGATATTCAAACGCGCCCTAACCGTTTTAGCTCAATGGATAGAGTGTCGGCCTGCAGACTGAAGGGTCCCAGGTTCAATTCCGGTTGCGGGCATATCTTTAGTAGGGGGTGTGCAGGAGGCAGTTGATCGATGTTTCTAACTCTCTATCCCTCTCCCTTCCTCTCTGTAAAAAATTAATAAAATGTATTTTTAAGCCCTGGCTGGTTTGGCTCAGTGAACAGAGTGTCGGCCTCTGGACTGAAGGGTCCCAGGTTTGATTCCTGCCAAGGGCACATGCCCAGGTTGCGGGCTCAATCCCCAATGTGGGGTGTGGTGTGCAGGAGGCAGCTGATCAATGATTCTCTCTCAGCATTGATGTGTCTATCTCTCTCCCTCTCCCTTCCCCTCTGAAATCAATAAAAATATATTTAAAAAATGTTTTAAAAATATATATTAAAAAAAATTTAAAAAAAGATATTCGAACGCATTTAGGAGTATCTTTACTCAATCACTCGTGCTTCATATCAAAATGTATTACCCTTGCCTGGGCAACATGGCTCAGTGGTTGAGCGTCAGTTGACCTATGAATCAGGAAGTCACAGTTCAATTCCCAGTCAGGACATTTGCCCAGGTTGTGAGCTCCATCCCCAAGTGGAGCATTCAGGAGGCAGCCAATCAATGATTCTGTCTCATCATTGATATTTCTATCTCTCTTTCCCTCTCCCTCTCTGAAATCAATTTTTTTAAATGTATTTTATTGATTTTTTACAGAGAGGAAGGGAGAGGGATAGAGAGTTAGAAACAACAATGAGAGAGAAACATCGATCAGCTGCCTCCTGCACACTCCCCACTGGGGATGTGCCCACAACCAAGGTACATGCCCTTGGCCGGAACCGAACCTGGGACCCTTGAGTCCGCAGGCTGACGCTCTATCCACTGAGCCAAACCGGTTAGGGCTGAAATCAATT